CTCTCGACCTCGTGATCCACCCGCCTCGGCCTCCCAAAGTGCTGGGATTACAGGCTTGAGCCACCGTGCCCGGCCTTTTATTTTTTTTTGAGATGGAGTCTCACTGTGTTGCCCAAGCTGGAGTATACCAAAAGCTCTATCTCCCAGATTCAAGTGATTCCCCTGCCTCAGCCTCCTGCGTAGCTGGAATTACAGGTGCCTACCACCACGCCCAGCTAATTTCTGTATTTTTAGTAAAGACGAGGTTTTGCCATGTTGGCCAGGCTGGTCTAGAACTCCTGACCTCAAGTGATCTGCCCTCCTTGCCCTACTAAAGTTCTGGGTTACAGGCATGAGCCATGGCACTGGGTCACCATTTACATTTAATATGTTGATACAGATGGGTTTAAGTCTATCATCTTGCTATTTCTTTTTAATTAACCCATTTGCTTTTTTTTTTCTTTGATTTTTTGCTAGCTTTTCTCTCTCTCTCTCTTTTCATTGAAGTACTACTCCACAATCCTGCCTTCTTTGATCTTGAGTAACTGATGCCATTTTACCTCTACAGTGGAGGTAATAAATTTTGTACCATGTGGCATGTAGTGTCAGAGTCTTACCTAGTAACTTCTGTTTCCCTCCACCATTTGTATGTTTTATGAAAATCTTATTGCTTTCATATATTTAAATCTACATGTGCTACAAACTGAACGATGTACTGTTATATTTGCTTGAACCCATTATCATTTAAATAGATTCAAAAGGTAAAAATGGGCCAGGCACAGTGGCTCACACCTGTCATCCCAGCACTTTGGGAGGCCAAGTCGGGTGAATCACCTGAGGCTGGGAGTTTGAGACCAGACTGGCTAACATGGTGAAACCCTGTCTGTACTAAAAATACAAAAATTAGCCAGACATGGTGGTGGGTGCCTGTGGTCCCAGCTACTCAGGAGGCTGAGGCAGGAGAATCGCTTGAACCCGGGAGGCATAGGTTGCAGTGAGCTGAGATTGCATCACTGCTCTCCAGCCTGGGTGACAGAGTAAGACTCCATCTCAAAAAAAAAAAGTAAAAATGTCGTTTTAAATTGACCTATATGTTTACAATTTTTGGTGCTCCTTTGTGCAGATCCAAATTTCCATCTCATGTCATTTTCCTTTTGCCTGAATAACTTTAACATTTCTTGTAGTGCAGATCTGCTAGTGAAGAATCCTGTTGGGTTTTTTCTAAAAAAAGTCTGTATCTTGCCCTCATTTTTAAATGATAGGGAGATAAACCTGGGGTCTCCATTCCTCTTCCCTGCCCCTCACTGAGCAGAGTTACGCACGGCTGCCTTGTGGGAAGTGGAGGTGGGTTCAGGGGTTTGTGAAAAGCCCAGGGCTGCAGACCCGCTGCACAGGGCACCTTTAGAGGCTTCTTGGAGAAGCTGGTTGGGCAGCCCTGACTCTTAGAATCTCTGTGTGTCCTCGGGGATGTCAGGTGGAAGATCGATGTGCATTTGCAAGTGGGAGTGTGAGAAAAGAAAAACGTGGGGTTATGCATGGCAGGGTGTGTCCAGAGAGCAATGGTGACGTCTGTTGTCTGTGCTCTCCCAACAGTTCTGGGACTGTGGAGAATGCAATTGTTCTCTATCTCTTTTGTGCTTTGGAAGTTCTCCATGAAGTCTAACCGCAGGTCATATTGTTGTACAGTCTAGAATTGGAGGATGGATATAATTCCATGAGTATGAAATAATATGCAGAGTTTTTGGAAACCAGTTACTGGGCCCACCCACTCCACCGGAAACTCAGGCCTCCTCCATTTCACTCCCACCAGCAACGTCACTCACTTTAACACCTGAACTACTCTTAGATACCAGCGGGGAAACCGAGGCACGCAGGTGCGAACGTGGCAGCAGTCCCTAGAGAGCCCATCGTAGTCACTTCGGGTGCTGGCCCTGGCTCACCTATGCCCTGGGCACCGCGGGGAACCGCCCCTGGACAGCCAGTGGCACGCGGAGCCCTCAGTGGGCGCAGGGAACACTCGTGGGCATCGGGTTGCCCGCTTCGCCCCACGCTCTCGACACACTTTCCTGCCGCGTGGCAATGTCCCGGGTGCAGATCACAGCCTGGAAGTGCCCTTTCCCGCGCGGCCAGACGGCTGAGCCCTGCGCTCCGGATGGGGCGCAGGCGGGTGCCAGCTGCTCTGGGTTCCGGGCGAGCGCGCGCCACCCGGGCAGCGCGGGCCCGGAGTGCCCTCTGGCGGGGAGGGGCGCTGAGTCTTGCGTCTCCAGCCGTGGAATTGGCCCCGACTCTCCGAGCGCGCGGGACAGCGCTGCCAGGAGGTGAAGCACTGAAACACTCGGCACCCACGCCTGTCTCTCCAGGGCCCGCACTGTATCCCAGGCTGACGCCAAGGAGGCCCGAGACAGCCCTGGGCGGCCACTAGGACGGGTCTGGTGGGGACATGAGTGTGGACATCTAGTTGCAAGGTCTACGGTCACACAGCCGCCTTTCTTGTCTGAACTGGCCACTGCCCGGGGGAGCTGGGCTGGGCCTCGTGCTGTGCCACCAGCTCACTGCCATCGTGCTCAGCCCACCTCCTTTCCTGGACCTTGGAGGATGAGGGGTGTGAAGGTCGGGGCAAGCTGCGGGTGTCCAGAGTAGAGGAGGGGCCTCTTCCCAGCAGGGGTGTGCGTGGGAGGTTTTCCAGGAATCGGTCTCTCTCTTTTCTTTCTTCTTTCTTTTTCGTTCCTTCTTTCCTTCCTCCCTTCTTCTTTCCTTCCTTTTTCCTTCCTTCCTTCCTTCCTTCTTTCTTTCTTTCTTTTCTGTCTTTCTTGCTAGATGGAGTCTTGCTGTCGCCAGGCTGGAATGTAGTGGCACGATCTCAGCTGACTGCAACCTCTGCCTCCTGAGTTCAAGCAGTTGCCCTGCCTCGGACTCCGCAGTAGCTGGGACTACAGGCGCACACCACCACACGCACTCAGCGAATTGTTTGTATTTTAGTAGACACGGGTTTCCCCCTGTTGGCCAGGCTGGTCTCAAACTCCTGACCTCGTGATCCGCCTGTCTTGGCTTCCCAAAGTGCTGGGATTACAGGTGTGAGTCACTGTGACTGGCCGAATTTTCTTTTCTTTTCTTTTTTCCTTTCCTTTCTTTCTTTCTTTTTTTTTTTTTTCTGGAGTCACCATCTCTACACATGCAGTTAGGGGAGTCAGCATGGTTTGGGTGCAGGTGGGAGGGACTGAACCCTGAAAATGATTAGGACTGTCTGGCCTCAGCCTCGGTGCACACATCACTGGACTGGGTCTAAAGGCCGCCACGCCCAAAGGACGGATCATTGCTCACTTCCCACTGGAGAAGCAGATGGCAGAATTGTTTTGGAGGGGCCTGGCTTGGGGCCTGGGACCTACGTTCATGTGGTCCAGATGGAGATCCAAGAGTTAGATTGTTTCTAGGTAACATGTAGCACTTCAGATTACAAAACTTTTTGCACATGGTCTCCTCTCTGCTTTACAACAGCTCAGGAAAGTCCAAACATCCACTCTAACAGATGAGGGAGCTCAGAGCCGGTAACCAGCCCCTCCAGGTCACACAGCCAGGGAGGGGGTTGAGCCGTTTCCAACCACTGCCTTGGTTGTTGCAGATCCATCCCTCCCTGTAGACGCCTTTATTGAAGGGGGGGCCTGAAGGCTGAACAGCCAACACAGAAGAGGAGGCGCTTAGGGGTGAGGGCAATTTATGGCCCTGCAAGGGCCCAGTGCAGGTGGGATGGGAGCCAGGGTAAGGCTGGGCCATGCCCAGCCGTAAGCAAAGTTGCTAAACAAACCCATGACTTCGTCTAAATGTAAGTTTGTGGTGGCATTCAAGTCCCATCATAGCCCATCTGTCCAGACTCATCTGCTTGGGATCCCTGTCTTGGGGCCAGTGGTTACTGGCCTGCTTCCTGGTCAATTAGCCCAGTAGGGCCAGGACTACAGGGAGGTGTGAGAAGCCTAGAGTGCAAAATTTAGGAGCAGTCACTCTCAGGGACATGCAGGTGCAGGCTAGCTCTGGCAGGACCCTAAGAGTCTCTTGCCTCCCTGTTTCCCCATCCTACTTTCACTCTAAGCATTAGGTTTCCAGAGGACAGAGACCACATCTTCATTAGAAGTCCCTGGGGGTCCCCAGCATTGAAGGGCTCACAGTTGGAGCTCAATAAACACTTGCCAGTGGCCAGGCTTATCTTTCCCAACTGAAAAATGGCCTAGGCTAGGCCGGGCACGGTGGCTGATGCCTGTAATCCCAGCACTTTGGGAGGGCGGGGCGGGCAGATACAAGGTCAGGAGAGCGAGACCATCCTGGCCAACAAGGTGAAACCCTGTCTCTACTGAAATCCAAAAATTAGCTGGGCGTGGTGGCAGGCGCCTGTAGTTCCAGCTACTTGGGAGGCTGAGGCAGGGGAATTGCTTGAAACCAGGAGGTGGAGGTTGCAGTAAGCTGAGATAGTGCCACTGCACTCCATTCTGGCAACAGAGTGAGACTGTCTCAAAAAAAAAAAAAAAAAGAAGAAAGAAAAATGGCCTAGGCTGGGAAGGCCAGGTTCCTGTCTCTTGTGTGATCCAACCGACTCTGACTTGCCCAGAGTCTGGACTTGTCCTTCACCAAGAGTAAGCTGATGAGATGGGCAGAAGAACCCTAATGTCCCTGCAAGATTCAGGAAGTCCAAGCCAGAAAGTAAAGAACTTTTTTTTTTTTTTCTTTGAGATGTAGTTTGGCTCTTGTTGCCCAGGTCAGAGTGCAGTGGTGCCATCTTGGCTCACTGCAACCTCCACCTCCCGAGTTCAAACGATTCTCCTGCCTCAGCCTCCCGAGTAGCTGGGATTACAGGCACGTGCCACCACGCTCGGCTAATTTTGTATTTTTAGTAGAGACACGGTTTCTCCATGCTGATCAGGCTGGTCTCGAACTCCCGACCTCAGGTGATCCTCCTGCGTCAGCCTCTCAAAAGTGCTGGGATTACATGCTTGAGCCCACCGGCCTTTGTTTGTTTTTTACATGCGAGGCAGTACATCTGGAGTGTCGACGACTTGTTCCAAGCCACACGGCCGCATAAGGACAGGGGTACATAACAAGTTCTTCCAAGCTGTGATCTTAACAAGGAAAACCTGGGACGCAGCTGCTTGATGCACATCGAGTATGTCGACGCTCTACTTACGAGGCCTGGGACAGCGAGCAGGATCAATCCATTGCTTTTGGCTGCCTGCGGAGTGCTGATTGGTCCCCGCTCAGGAAACGGAAGAAAGAGGCGGGCGTGCGCGCGCGGCTGCGCGGGAAGCAGTTTCCCTTCTGGAGATCATGGCGTCGCTCAATTGCAGCAGCGTTTTGTGCGTGATTTGCTTGGAGAAGCCCAAATACCGCTGCCCGGCTTGCCGCGTGCCCTAGTGAGTGGGGAGGTCACGGGGTCCGGGGGTGCGGGTGTCGGGCCGCAGCGGGAGGGCGGGAGGGCAGGAACCCGCGGGCTGCGGGGGGCGCCGGGGGCCCTCGGGGCTGACGCGGCCGTGGCCGTCTCTCGTTACAGCTGCTCGGTGGCCTGCTTCCGGACGCACAAAGGTGAGCCCTCGGCCCCCTCCTCGCGCGGGGCGGCCCCCTCGTCCCACTGCCGTGTTGGCTGCGCCGCGTTTCCCGCCTCTGCCCCCGGTGGGTTCTGCAGGAGCCCTGCTTTCTCTGACTTGGTCTAGGCGTCACACGCCTCTTCCTGTGCGTTGGGCAGTTTCCTGCGTTGTCCCTGCTTGTAATCGCACCCCGGATTTTGAACAGTCGGTAGCCTTTCTTCCCCTCCGCCCCTTCATGGAGGAACCTTCAGGCTGTTTTCCGTAATGGCTATACCAATTTACATTCCCAACAACAGTGTTTGAGTTCCCTTTTCTCCACATCGTCGCCAGCATGTTATTTTTTGTCTTTTTAATAGTAGCCATTGTTTCTTCGGTGAGATGACATCTCATTGTGGTTTTTGACCTGCGTGTCCCCAGTGATTAGTGATATTGAACTCGTTTTTTCAAATACTCGTTGGCCATTTGTCTTTTGAGAAATGTCTATTCAGATCATTTGTCCATTTTATTTTTTTTTGAGAAGGAGTCTTGCTCTTGTCGTCCAAGCTGGACTACAATGGCATGATCTCAGCTCACTGCAGCTTCCACTTCGCGGGTTCAAGTGATTCTCCCGCCTCAGCCGCCAGAGTAGCTGGAAGTACAGGTGCCTGCCACTTATTCCCGGCTAATTTTTGTATTTTTAGTAGAGACGAGGTTGCCCATGATCGAGTGCAATGGCGTGATCACAGCTCATTGCACCCTCAGCCTCCTGGGCCCAAGTGATCCTCCCACCTTAGCCTCCTGAGTAGCGGAGATGAACTTTATTTTTTGTAGAGGTGGGGTTTCACTATATTGCCCAGGCTGATCTTGGACTCCTGAGCTTAAGCATTCCTCCTGCCACAACCTCCCAAAGTGCTGGGAGTTTAGTTGGGAGCCATTGTGCACAGCTTCTCCTCCCTTTATTCATGTCTCTCAAAAGTTTTTTTTTTTTTTTTTTTTTGCTGGATCTCTCCCTTAATTCTGTCCTTGACTTTATTCCTAGGTAGGTGAGGTAGGTGATCTTTTACCGTTTTTTTTTTTTTTTTTTTTGAGACAGAGCCTTGCTCTGTTGCCCAGGCTGGAGTGCAGTGGCGTGATCTTGACTCACTGCAACCTCCGCCTCCCGGGTTCAAACGATTCTCCTGCCTCAGCCTCCCCAGTAGCTGGGATTATAGGTGTACACCACCACACCTGGCTAATTTTTGCATTTTTAATAGAGGCGGGGTTTTGCCATATTGGCCAGGCTAGTCTTGAACTCCTAAGCTTGTGATCTGCCCGCCTAGGCCTCCCAAAGTGCTGAGATTACAGGTGTGAGCCACTGTGCCCGGCCTACTTTTTTTTCTTACTGATATCCAAATCTTTATAGCTCCAGCCTCTTTTTGAGCCCCTTAGACACAAGTGTCTGTATTTCGGGGTCAGGTACAACCCAGAAAATTCACCTCTCCTTCAGTTTCTCCTGCTGTGTTCCTTACATAAAGCCATAAAGTTAGACCTGGATTCCAAATCTGCCTCTGCTACTTATTAGCTGTGGACCCCAATGGACAAGTTTATTACAAGAAAATTATTTAATCCTTTCATCTCTAAGTAAATTAACAGTCTCCGTGTCATGGGGGCTTTGTAAAGGTTCCTTGAGCCATTGTGTACCTCACTGCGTACCTGGCACAGTGCTTGGCACTTAAGTCAGTGGCGTCTGTCATAACTGCCACCTAGGTGACTAGAACTTTTTCATAGCATATTGTCAAGTCTAAATTTTAAGCCTCTACAAACTGGTTCTGCCTTTGTGTCCTTAGAACCCTTTCCTGTGACCTCATGCTCTGTTGATTCTGTCACCCAGGGTGGAGTGCAGTGGTATGATCACAGCTCATTGTAGCCTTGACATACGGAGCTTAAGTGATCCTTCTGCCTCAGCCTCCCGAGTAGCTGAGACCACATGTGTGCACCACCATGGCTGGCTATTTTATTTTTTGTAGAGACATGGTCTTGCTATGTTGCCCAGGCCGGTTTCAAACTCCTGGGCTCAAGTGATCCTCCCACCTTGCTGTCCGAGTGTTGGGATTACACGTGTGAGCCAGCGCAGCTGGCCTTCTCTTGACTCTTAAGTTCTTTGGTTGTTTTGCCTCTAGTTTTATCCCATCTGGTATCTGGTTTATAGCAGCTGTTTCAAACACCCCAAGTAATTGTGAGAATAGGATTCAGCAGGGTAGGGAGGATAGAGACAGGTTCTTGGGGTGCGGGAGTGAGCCCTGCTTCCTCAGCCCTCCTGCCAGGCTCAGGCTGCTGGTGGTTTTCCTTAACCTGCCACTTGCTTTGATCTCTCACTTCTTCCACATTCCTGGGCACCCCACCCACATCCCTTACCCCAGACACTTGCTTCCTACCTAGATGCTAACTTGGTGGGGAGGTGCAGCCCTGCCGCTGAATGCAGGTAATGTGGGCCTGGGATGTGTTGTCTTTTTCAGAACGGTGCAACCCTGAAACTCGTCGTGTTGAGAAAAAAGTAAGATCAGCTCCTCCTACCAAAACTGTGGAAAACAAAGGTGGGTTGGTTGACTTGCAAGGGACTTGACATAGAATAAGCTGAAAGGAAGGAACAGGGAAGACTGGGGCTGGGCAAGGAGTCCCGAACAATGGCTTCCTCGAGAAGCAACAGCTTCTTTACCCCTGAGCACCGGGAGTGGGGCCATGTCGTCATGGGTGATGAGCAACCTGAAAGCAGTATTCAGAAGAAAAACGGGCAGAAAAACAGATGAGAAAGGCCATGGCTGTAGTTTAGGGGTTTGTGGTGGGGGCTATCTGTTCACCTGAGCTCAGCCCAGGCAGGAGGCTTTCTTTGTTCTAGATCACCTCGCTGCTGCTGGGGTTTCAGAGCTTATGGCAGCAGTGGGCTGTCGACCCATCCGTCCAGCCATCTAAATGTTCTCTAATACCTCCTGGGTGTCATGCACTATGTCAGGCTCTGAAAGCAGCACCTCTGATACTACCAAAGAGGTATTGAATATTCCCTGCAAAGTCATGACCTATTTTTGCCCTTTGAGAAATTTCCAGGTTGGGTTCAGGAAATGCTAGCAGTTTCTGCCCATGTTGAAAGCACAGGAGATTCTGCTTAGCTGGTTTTTAAAGAGCATCCAGTTTATTGGCCTGTCACAGGGGTTTATTAGTCCCAGTTCCTGGAGTGCCAGGGTCTAGCCGAACCCCACAGAGCAGATGCTAGAAATGCAATGACATGGAGCCATGTTGAGGTGGGAAGGGGTTATAAGTTACTAGACAACCAGGGTCTAAGCCTAAAGACCACAGGACCACATAATACAGTAAGGATGTGAACACTAGGGAGCATTTGTTAAAATCACCAATTCTTTCACTTAGCCTCCCCCTTCTAAAAAAGGAGTGTTAGAGAAGAGGATTTTTGTCTGTACCTGCTTGAATACCCCTATCGCTATCATGTGTGTGCAATACATTTTTATCCTGTTGAACTAGTTAAAATCTGGTGTCCAGGCCTCCTTTTTAGTCATGAGCCATTGGCTTGTTTTGTATTCCTTAGATGATGATGACTGTATAGCTGATTTTCTCAATAGTGATGAGGAAGACGACAGAGTTTCTTTGCAGAATTTAAAGAATTTAGGTAAGTCTGTGCTGTGCTTGTCAACCGTTGAGATATTTACTGTGTTGTAAGGATTGTGGTTTTTTTAAAGTCACTAAATCCTTGATTAAGTGTGGCATGCAGGGCCTTTACTATCTAGTGACATAATTCTGTAAACATACGGGGTTTCCCACCTCCCAGCCTCCTCACACCGTTCCTTCTGCCTGGAATCCTACTGGTTTTGCCGGTTAGCAAAATTCTGCTCCTCTCTCAAGGCTTGGTTCAAGTTTTCTTTGCTCAGCCAGGCTCTTCTTGACCTTTCAGAATTAGGCACTTTTTTGGTTTCCCATAGCAGCTTGGACTTATTAGTAACAAATCACTTAATATTTATGATAATTTGTCTCTCACATACCGATTTGTACAGCAGGGACCTGTATTCTTAGATCCCCAGTGCTCAGTCCAGCCATTAACGTAGACTGCATATCGTGATTTGATTTTTTTTTTTAAGAAAACAGGTGTTAATGTCCCACATTTTTGTAGTACTGCTTATTCAGTCCATGTAACATTCTGTTTTGTGTATACGGTGTCTATTAATTTCATTGTTCCCATTTCACAGAATCACAAAAGGTTATGCTCTGCAGTTAGTCTCATGGTAATGATTAGACTGAGTTTGCAGCTGAGCTGGTAATAGGTGTGAAAAATTTTATAGACTATAAAGTACCATGCAGGTGGTATTGTTGGTTCACTGCTACTGGTCCTGCTGCACGCTGAATCACATGCTTAGACATCTTTCACAGTATTTGGTATAACTGTCCTCTGCAACTTTTTTTTTTTTTTTTTTTTTGAGACGGAGTTTAGCTCTTGTTACCCAGGCTGGAGTGCACTGGCGCGATCTCGGCTCACCGCAACCTCCACCTCCTGGGTTCAGGCAATTCTCCTGCCTCAGCCTCCTGAGTAGCTGGGATTACAGGCATGCGCCACCATGCCCAGCTAATTTTTTGTATTTTTAGTAGAGACGGGGTTTCACCATGTTGACCAGGATGGTCTCGATCTCTTGACCTCGTGATCCACCCGCCTCGGCCTCCCAAAGTGCTGGGATTACAGGCTTGAGCCACCGCGCCCGGCCTTTCTCTGCAACTTTTATACCTATAAGGAAAAAACGGCCGGGCGCGGTGGCTCAAGCCTGTAATCCCAGCACTTTGGGAGGCCGAGGCGGGTGGATCACGAGGTCGAGAGATCGAGACCATCCTGGTCAACGTGGTGAAACCCCGTCTCTACTAAAAATACAAAAAATTAGCTGGGCATGGTGGCGCGTGCCTATAATCCCAGCTACTCAGGAGGCTGAGGCAGGAGAATTGCCTGAACCCAGGAGGCGGAGGTTGCGGTGAGCCGAGATCGCGCCATTGCACTCCAGCCTGGGTAACAGGAGCGAAACTCCGTCTCAAAAAAAAAAAAAAAAAAAAAAAAAAAAAAAAAAGGAAAAAACATGCCAGCAGCTTAAAGATCTAAAGCAGGCGTCCCCAGACTTTTTACACAGGGGGCCAGTTCACTGTCCCTCAGACCGTTGGAGGGCCGCCACATACTGTGCTCCTCTCACTGACCACCAATGAAAGAGGTGCCCCTTCCTGAAGTGCGGCGGGGGGGTGGGGGTGGGGGGCAGATAAATGGCCTCAGGGGGCCGCAGTTTGGGGACACCTGATCTAAAGTCAGTGACACTGACTCTTCTTTGTGATTGTGCTGATAAAGCATTTTTTCTTAGCTAAAGTGGCATGAAGTTACAATGTTTACAAAGATACCAAGAACTGGTCTCTGTTACTGCATTTAAGGTGGAAATAGTTTGAAAGCTGATCTCACCACGTTGCCCACACTGGTCTTGAATTCCTGAGCTCAAGCGATCTACCCACCTTAACCTCCCTAATTGCTGTTACAGGCATAAGCCACCATGCCTGGTGGTTTTATCACACTTGAAACATTTCTTTTTTCTTAACCATCTCCATGTGTTCCCACTTGAACTCAGAGTAGCTTTTTTTCTTGTTAATTTTTAGGGGAATCTGCAACATTAAGAAGCTTATTGCTCAATCCACACCTCAGGCAGTTGATGGTCAGTCTCGATCAGGGGGAAGACAAAGCAAAGCTCATGAGAGCCTGCATGCAAGAACCCTTGTTTGTGGAGTTTGCAGACTGCTGTTTAAGAATTGTGGAACCATCTAAGAATGAGGATTCTTAACATGGACTACTGTGCTGCTTGCTTAAGCTCATGCTGGACTCCCAGAACCTGCTTACCCCCCACTCTCTCCAGGAGACCAGCTCGTCTGGGGGGCCCCAGGTAAAAAAGAAGTTTCCAGGATGCTGGCTGACGTAGGCTATACAGGCCTTTACAGGCATGGACGTGGGCTTATGTTTCAGGCAGATGTGGGGTCCTTAAGGTGGCAAATCCTTTATGGAGAGAAAACCTGACATTCAGATGGTTCTTAAAGGTTTTACTTTGGGTACCGTTGACAGGCATCATAAATGGTATCAACTTTATGCTTGATATGGAGCTAAACTTGAACAGTGTTACTAAATAAAATCAAGATGTGATTTTATTGTACACTGGGTTCATAATTTGTTTGACATTACATTAAATAAGTCAACAACTTATTAAATACTAAAGTTTTCTTCCTTTTTAAAGGAAATAACTACAAAATTTTCCCCAGCCCAAATTCCAGTGCCAATTTTAGGCCAACTTTGCCTGTTTTCGTCCAAAAGTGCTTATGTGGAATGGGGTTCCTCACTGTAGTGACAGTCATGACTGCTGCTGAGTTTGATATGTGAAGGTAGAGAAACATGACCCTGATGTTTAACCCTAGTTTGGTAATTACCAGCCCTGACGCCATCAGTGCTTGATGTAGCCTAGAGCCCCAGGCCCAATGACGCACTGGCCACAGGACCCTGGCTTCCAGGCTGGAGCTGACACCGTTACTCATAAGTGTTTGGAGCACTGTGGGAAGTCTGGCAGCCGTGTGCTGATTAAATGTCTTTGGCAAGGCAGCTGGCAGGAAAAGGCCTTGTGGAAACAAAGGCACCAAGGATTACCCAGCTCAGTGAAGGCAGAAGAGGTCACATGTGGATCAGCCTGTGTCTTTCAAGTAGAATCTGATTAAAGCCGGTAACACTGTAGGGCGAAGGTTCAGGGCAGATGTCAGCATAGCGCAATGGAGACTTTTTGCAGTGAAACTTTATCGATCCCTAGGGGGAGAGAGAGAGAGATGCAGCTTTAGCCCCAGTTCCTGGGAGTGCCAGGGCCTCACAACCCCACAGAGCGGATGCTAGAAATGCAAGGAGGTAGGACAAGGACTAGCATGGGGGCCACAGCAGCATTAAAATAGAAAGCATTACATCCACTCAGTGTGAGACATGAGGAAAGCCTACGAGAGGGTGCTCCCTAAGAGGAACGTCTGTCACAGTCCTATGACTGCTTTTAAAGCCTGAAGATCGAACCATTTACCCTTCTGTTTACGCTCCAGCAGGCCTGTGTTTTCATAGGAGATTTTACCCAGATTAAGGCCTATATGGTAATTCCTCTGAAAGGAAATTCGGTGTTTCCTTTTACCTTGTCATTTCACTTACTCCTTGCTGTGACCCCACGCAGTAGGTTGAGTATTCGCCCATTTTATAGTCAGGCTCTGAGAAAATGTGTCTTAGCTAAGATCCTAAGTGAATGGGGCAGAGCCAGGACCCAGACCCTGGGGTTCTGCCTCCCAGTGCAGCGCACTTTGGCCTTTCCTTGACCACTTTATTTCTGCGAGGCCTGGCTTGCTGGGGTGACTCACAAAGCCCTGAGTGACACTGACTTCCCAAGTGTGCTGGCTGACTTTTCCCTGGCTGCTCATATTATAAAAACACAAAGCTGGGTACGGTGGCTCATGCCTATAATCCTAGCACTTTGGGAGGCCAAGCCAGGCAGATCACCTGAGGTCAGGAGTTTGAGACCGGCCTGGCCAACATGGTGAAACCCGTCTCTATTAAAAATACAAAAAAAACCCCACAAAAGCTGGGTGTAGTGGTATATGCCTGTAGTCCCAGTTATTCAGGAGGCTGAGGCAGGAGAATCATTTGAACACACTGCACTCCGCCCTGGGCAACACAGCCCCACAGAGGACTTGGACCACTGGCTCTGCTTGCCATTTCCTCAGCTAGAAAAGGAGAAAAACCCAGCAATACCAGTTGAGGAAAACATGGTACCAAATTCAGTGCCATTTGAGGTAACAAACTCATCACAACCCAAGTTGTGATGTGAGACTAGATTATTTGCCCTCAAGTCTTGGGGTAGTTTCTTTTTTGCTACGTTTCATAAATTTTTCCTCTTTTCTGTAATCGACCTGTTACTACCCTAAGCCAAACTTCCTTTTTTTAGACAGACTTGTCACCCAGGCTGAAGTTCTGTGGCACAATCTCGGCTCACTGCAACTTCTGCCTCCTGGGTTCAAGCGATTCTCCTACCTCAGCCTCCCGAGTAACTGGGACTGCAGGCGTGTGCCACCATGCCTGGCTAATTTTTGCATTTTTAGTAGAGACGGGGTTTCGCCATGTTGGCCAGGCTGGTCTCAAACTCCTGACCTCAGGTGATCCGCCCACCTCAGCTTCCCAAAGTGCTGGGATTACAGATGTGAACCACTCACTGTGCCTGGCCTAGGCCAGACTTTGAACACCTCCTGCTCCTGACTCTAGAGCCTTGGTTCTCACAGTGTGGTTCACGGAGCATCAGCTGGGAGCTTGCTAGAAACGCAGTATTGCATTTGGAAATGGAACTAAAAGGAGATTCAGAGATGCTGAAATAGTTAGAGGCAGTTTAAAAAGATAAAGGGCTCTGGAAGATTCCCGGTTACAACAAAGTAAATAATCCAAACCTACAGTTGGTTAGGACGTGCAGGCATCTGGTTCACCCAGTAAGGTTAGGGACAGATCTTGTCCCAGCCAGTCTCCTTCCCCCTGTGAACTTCTGGGCTTTGTTCCTGCTGTTCACAGGAACAAAGCTGTCATGGCCATCATGCACAACGTACCTGAGGCATCGCTCGGATGGATGTGACACCAGCCTGGTCTTGCTGTGCTGTCTGGACTGTGTAGCTACTGGGGCTGCCTCTGGGGAGCTGGAGGCAGGCCCAGACCACCAATTTCCTCTGAAAGCTGCCTACACCCATAGCTGTGTTGGTCAGGACAAGCCCCAGGGGCCAGAGGCGAACTACTGCTTCCAGGAGCCTGGTTTGCAGTGGGGAGGTACTTAGGGAACCGGGAGCTTGAGAGGGGTGTTTTTCTTCCACATCATCCAGTTCTTCAGCAGCAAGGCAGGCCATTCTGATCTTAAAAAGCAAACATCCCTTTATAGCTTTAGATTTATCTAGCCCTCTTAACAGAAAATGGAAATCAAAACTAACAAATCATCTTAAGGTGAACTGAAGGCACCTGGTTGCGAACAGCTGGCTGCTGTGAACCAAACTGGTTCCATATGGTACAAGTCTATACACCCCAGGCAACGGTGCTTAGGCCTTACCTATGCTACTTGAAAACAAAGTAACAGCCCATCGAGACATAACTGCTGAACTGTAAATCCCAGTCTTTTAAAGTGTACATCCCAGAGTTTGGTATATTCCCAGAGTTGCTTATACCACTCTCTACCTTCACAACCACCTTGCAGGGTAGGTGTTACTGTGCCCATTGCATATACAATATGAGGCTCACAGAGGCTGAATGACCTGCCCAAGGCCACGTGCATTGCAGTGGCAGAGCCAGCATTCCCACTCATGTCCACCATCTGGTCCCCAAAATTGATCCACTGCCCACCCCAACTTCTTGGGTAAGTCTTACTCTCCACTTCTGCCACGTGCGCTTGATGACTGTAGCAGCTGCATGTAGCCTCTGGATGCGTTTCCGAGTTAACCAGGAACGAATGGCTGAGGTTTGCCCAGAAACAGAAAAGAGATAATAAAGGGGCCATTAGAGTGTTAGTGACCTGACTGCAGCAAAACCACAGTTGCTGTCAAAGTTTCAAATATATATTTTTTCAACGAATGCCTACTTTGGGCTACAAATGAAATGAGGCAAAATTGGCTTTTAAACATTCCTTCCACTGCCCACACATCTGGATACACCTACACAGTGAAGGAGCACTGGGGAGCCTGGACTGGCTGAAGGCAAGGCAGTCACTTCCCGTCTCAGGCTCAGTCCAGGGCAGCACCCAGGGAACAGGAGGGGTCTGGATTGTCTGTGCCTTTAAAAATTTTTTTTTTGCCGGGCGCGGTGGCATGTGCCTGTAATCCCAGCTACTCAGGAAGCTGAGGTGGGAGGATCGCTTGAGCCCAGGAGTTCTGGGCTGTAGTGCGCTATGCCGATTGGGTGTCCGCACTAAGTTCTGCATCAATATGGTAACGTCCCGGGAGCAGGGGATGACCAGGTTGCCTAAGGAGGGGTGAACCAGCCCAGGTTGGAAATGGAGCAGGTCAAAACTCCTGTGCTGATTAGTGATCGCACCTGTGAATAGCCACTGTACTCCAGCCCTGCCTCTTAAAAAAAAAAAAAAAGAAAAAGTAAAATTAAAAAAAAAAAATCCTCAGTTGATTTGTTTGCTTTATGCATTCCTGAGATCACACTACCACATACCCAAAAACTGATCCAATTAATAAAATGATGGTAATTTTATTCCCTTCTCTACAATTTCAGCATATTCTTTGTTTCGTTTTGTTATTTTTTGAGACAGGGTCTCGCTGTTGCCCAGGCTGGAGTGAAATGGCATGAACAGTTTACTGGCATAAGCCACTGTGCCTGGCCTATGTTTTTAATTATTTTTTTTGAGACAAGTTTTGATCTTGCTGCCCAGGCTGGAGTGCAATGGCGCGATCTTGGCTCACCACAACCTCTGCCTCCTGGGTTCAAGCAATTCTCCTGACTCAGCCTCCGGAGTAGCTGGGACTACAAACATGCACCATCATGCCCGGCCAATTTTTTGTATTTTTAGTAGAGACAGGGTTTCTCCATGTTGGTCAGGCTGGTCTCAAACTCCTGACCTAAGGTAATCCGCCTGCCTCAGCCTCCCAAAATGCTGGGATTTCAGGCGTAAGCTACCGCGCCTGGCCATTTTTAAAAATTACATTTATTTGAGATGGAGTTTCCCTCGTTGCCCAGGCTGGAGCGCAATGGCATGGTCTCAGCTCACTGCAACCTCTGTCTGCCGAGTTGCTAGTATTATATGCATATGTCACCATGACCAGCTATTTTTGTATTAGTAGAGATGGGGTTTCTCCATGTTGGTCAGGCTAGTCTTGAACTCTTGACCTCAGGTGATCTGCCCGCCATGGCCTCCCAAAGTGCTGGGATTACAGGCATGAGCCACAGTGCCTGGCCCATTTTTATTTATTTTTTGACATAGTCTTGCTGTGTCACCCAGGCTGGATCTCAACTCACTGCAACCTCTGCCTCCTGGGTTGAGGTGATTCTCCTGCCTCAGCCTCCTGAGAAGCTGGGATTATAGGTGCGTACTACCACATCTGACTAGTTTTTTGTATTTTTAGTAGACACAGGGTTTTGCCATGTTGACCAGGCTGGTCTCAAACTCCT